CCTCTCCTGAGAGCTCTTTTTCTTTTTCCTTTTTCCTTCTGTTCTGGTAATCGTTTCATATGTTTTTCTGTTCGTGACGTAGGAGTGGGAAATGGTCAGGTGCCCCAACTCGCTGATTAGCCCTTATTTATACCGTCTCAGGTTGTTAGCCTGCTCCAACTGAAAAACTTTAACTGACAAGTTGGTTAATCAAAATATTAATAACTATATTTAAACTGACTTCTTCTTGGTATAATTTCGTTTGTTACTAAATAATTTTTACACTTATATGAACTTCATCAACATCAAATAAAATATTTTTTACTGTAAAATAAAATTGTATGAAAGATTTCCCTTCCAATTTCTATTCTAATTTTTTTTCTTGAACTATATGAAAATTCAATATAAAAGAATGTAGCAGACAGCATTTCATAGTGTTGACAATTTTGATTTGTGCTCATCTTTAATTTGTTTCTCTCTGTTCATGTGTTCTTAATTAATCATCCTATAATTTTTGTTACACTTCATGTTTGAGTATCTATAATGGAACAAAAAGGTCAAGAATATTGATTTATTTTATGGTCCGATAGCAGTATTATTGTTAGCATTAAATATATATATATATATTCCTTATTTAGGTTAAGAAACAAGTTGAAGCAGCTTGCTGATCAATATACACTATCCGAGCAACAATATGACCAGAAGGTGGAATTTATTACATGTGTGGCTGACTTTTTTGGTATAATTCTATTTAAAAATTTTGCAGCTGATATTTACTTCCATGATTGTGTATTCAAATCCACAGTTGAAGCAGAAGGCTTTGGAGCTTCAGATTGCTGATTTGAAAATTAAGCAATATGAGGAAAAATTGATTCAGGAACAGTCTCAGATGAAAGTATATGCAGAACAAGTGTCTCAGCTACTGGCAACTGAGAAAAATTTGCGCTTGCAGCTCACTGCTGATGGAGAAAAATTCCAACAATTCCAGGTTAATACGATTCTGTTTCATATATCATTGTGCAATCTGAATTAAAGCCACAGCAGTCTTCTCACTGGTTGTAGAAAACTTCGCTTTGCTTTAATGGTGTAATTTGAAACCCGTTGGTTTTCAAGGCGGAGGGGGAAAAATTGATTTGAGTGTTGAAAATAATTATATTTTCTTTTATCCCCAGAAAAGAAAAGGTTGTTAAGTGAGCCATACATTGATGGAGGCTTTAGTTTGAGACATTACTATCGGCCCTTTTTTTCATTATTCAATTGTTTGACCCCCTCTTGAATTACTTGATACATGTGTGTGTGTAGTTTATGCCTGAACGTGACTTGTTCCTTATTATGCATTGATTTTTCAGGAAGCATTGTTAAAGAGCAATGAGGTTTTTGAAACATTTAAACAAGAGATTGAGAAGGTACACGACATTTTCTTTGAAAAAATTGTATGTGTTCACAAGTCATGTTTGCTGGTCCCTATGTAGTTTGCAGGAATTTTATTCTAAAGTTATCTGCTTTTTTCGTTTTTCTGGAAACATTCAGATGACAAAATCAATCAAGGAACTCAAAAAGGAGAATCAATTTTTGAGGAGTAAAACTGAGAAGTCTGATGTTACTCTCATAGAGTTAGTTGATGAGGTATACGATGTTTACCCCATTTGCATGTTGGTCTTATATTCTGGGCAATTTACCATTCAGTCTGCGAGGACAGCATTAGCATCCCGTTCTTCCATGTATGCATACAGAGTTCAGTCTACCTAATTGCGCAACGTGATTTTTTACGCTTTATGAACTTACTTGCATCATGTGTAAATTCCTGTAACCTTGAATTTACAGATATTCTCACATATTACGACTTATGGGCGCCTTTTTAGGTTAGTTTTTTTGGTATCCATTGGGTGTTATCTGGTTATCCAACATTCCTACCTGGGTACTTAGCTTACGCCTTAGAGCCTTAAAGCTGCTGCTTGCATTTCCATTCCAAGTGGCCAACTACCATATCCCTTCTCCAGTAAAAGAGACCACACACCTTTGTCATATTTTTAGATTATTGCAGATTCTCCTTCTTAGTGATAGTTATTCGAGGTTTTTGTTTGGACGATCTACACAGGTGTCTATCCATAGTAGCCTAGTTCCTAATATTCTCGGCTCCATATCTGGCAGATAGCATGCCATATCTTTCTTGTGGTTGATGAAGTCACTATCGAGGACCATTCAGTAATACCACTAAGCAGCACTGAAGCTATATAAGATGCATGGAGACATGAGATGTTCTCATTTTACAATCCACTAGCATGGATATCCCGCATGGGCCACTTCCCTGAATTTTCAACTTTGCCAGCTTTTTAGAATATTATTTATACAATTTATTTAACAATTCTGCATTGTCCGATCAAGAATATGATTTAAGCACCATGCCTTATCCTTAGGCATCCGTGATACCTGGGAAAATAATGCTATTATGCGGAGAAGTCCCTTAATCTTTTTGGCCCTTTAGAATTGAGTTCCTGGCATGATTAATTATCTTTTAGCTAGTTTTAAAATAGCAAATCTCTGGTTCAAGAGCATAATGTCAAGTTTCTGAATTCCCTATTAGCTTGAATTGTTTTAGAAGAAAGAAATACATGGATATGAGAAGTTAAAATCCAAGTTTTGTTGATAATTTCTTTTCTCATATATCATTTGGCATGATTTGTAGAAGTTGTAGCTTTTTAAAAACAGCCATCATTTTTTATTGAAAATTCAGGAAAATTAAAAGTATGACTAATATCCATTCTGGATTCCCCATGCACTTTTCCCCCCCTAATTTGTGACTCACATCTGTAAGAGAAGATTAACATTTCTTTGGAAATGTTTTGCTTTTTCGTTCTTATATTTTTAATCTCCCATGCGATTTGAGCATTGTGATTATTTATTGTCAAAATGGTGATATTTTTTCCCTTGAGCAGCGTGAGCGCTTGAAGAAACAGCTGGAGAAAACAAAAAATCAGAAAGAAAAGTTGGAATCGTTATGCAGATCCCTTCAGGCAGAAAGGAAGCAAAATTTATCAGGGAGCAAGAGTGATAACTCAGTTCCAACATGAACAAGAGCTTATTAAGAACATGTCAATGAACTATCTCCTTGAAGCCATGTCTCAAAAATTATTATCATGTATTTGCGAAATTCTAATCTTTCCATTATTACTGATATATTGCAATTATTCTCAGGTTGTGCTTTCTTGTTTAACTTCTCTTCTGTTGACCCATCCTATTAGAAGATCTGATTTTATTTTCTAGTTTTTCTTGTGATTCTCTTGGAATATCTTTACGATTTGATTATTTGTAAGGATCTGATTTTATAAATACTTTTCTTCATCAGGATCGAGTATTGGTAAGACCCAGTTCTGAATGAGCGGTTCAAAATTATTTTATTTTTAATTTATTATTTTTGCATATGATATGTCAGAATTATGGTTACAAACTTCTCATCTCCCAATAACAAGAGAGTAGAGGCAGGAAGAGGCAAGGCTTGTATTAATGAACCTGTACTTGGGTTTAAGAAGTCGCTTTGTGTGCAAAATAGGTTAAAATAAGGAATTAAAATACAATGAAACAATTTATAATTCAAAATATTTTTCGTGTTATTAAATGATAACAACTGAAAATACAAAAAAATATTTCATGTAGTTATACTGTTTTTAATGTAAAAGCTATTTAATTAATTGGAGTAAATTAAGAAATTAAATAAATTACTAAATTCTAACAAATGCTACCTAATCTTCTTAAAATATTCTTACATATAATTTTTGCATCTGAATTTATAAATTAAATAAATTAGTTTAGAAAATGATAGATATGAAGAAAAAGAATTGAGGTTTTATATTAAAGATTAAAATTAACTTTCTAACTAACTCATACATTTAGGATAAGAAGAATGTTAAATAAATTAAATATCAAAACTACAAAACATGTCATGAGTGAGGCATCTTCTATTTTCTCTTTAATAAAGTAATAAAAAAATTTTATCAAAAAAGAATTAATTAAATATACTACACATTTTTTTGGTACTATCTAAGGATTTAATAAAAAATTACCCAAATCTTTTTTTTTTCCCTGATGAAATTACCCAACTCCTCTAACGTCCCAAAGGTGTTGCAACTACCTTCTCCACTGTTACATTTTGTGGGAACGAAATTAACTTTGTCGACAAGGCATTGATCCAAAAAATTTTATGGATAAGGAGTTTTCTTTTCAGAAATACGCTATTTATTAAAACATTAATCATCATAATCAATTTGTATAATGAAATTGATAACATATATACAGGGCAGCTTATATTCTTCACATAATATATTTAAAAACATATTTAGGTTTACTTTTTATTATTAAAAATTATTAGTCTATATAGATGTAGAGTCAAAATAAATACTACCTCTAGTTCTTAATATAAAAGTTAGTTGACTAATTTAAGTAGATTAAAAAAAATTAATTAAGTTAGTTATTTATAAAAAAAATAGGTGTTGTCTTTTCTAAAGTATTCTTACTAATCAAGTGTATTAATTAAAATTACTATTATTACAAAGACTATTTTAAAAAATGAATAAAAATATAGGAGACCAAGTCGATTGAGATTTTGTATTTAAAACCAAAATAAAAATTAAATGAGCTCTTATGTTATAAACAGGAGATAGTATATACTAACAAAATTTTTTACATATATGCTTATGCTTTGCACAGAAAATATATAGGGAAAAATTACAATCAAGTCATAAAGAAGAGAAATAATTACTAAAAATTCTTAATAACAACTTGTAAATGAAGAATCATAACCTAAGATTTGTTTTGTAATTTTTTTTTTCTTTCTTAAGACTTTATTGTGATTCTCCCAATATATAAGTTATAGAAAATGAATTATTTTTAAAAAAAATAAATTATATTTTCTGCGAGGGATCTGGACGGACGGGATTGTTGTGGGACCTATTAGCACCTGGTCGTTGGGTATATGAACGCACGACGCGAAAACAGAACACACTGAAAAACCGTTTCTTGTTCTTCCGAATTTTGGAATCAAATCACCAAATACATTCTTCTTTCTCTCTCTCCCTCTCCCTCTCCTCTACACACTCTCTCTCTCTGGCCTTGTCTATGAGCGTGTGGCGCCATGGACGACAAAGCTGGAAACCCCAATCGCAGTGGCGGAACTATTGCCAACAATGTGTACTTGGACACCACTAAAGCAGACAAAGCCGTGTGGCTCATGAAGTGCCCACCTCTTGTCTCTCGCTCCCTCCGTTCTCCTCCATCCGATGCCGCCGACGCTTCTCGCCCGGTCGCCAAGGTCGTCGTTTCTCTCGACCCTCTTAACTGCAATGATGATTCTTCTCCTCAGGTTATTATTTCCTTCCATCACCACCTCATTCTGTGATTTCTTGGACCCCATTGATCATTCTGTGACTGCATGCATTGGTTTTCAGACCCAATTTCTCTTCAAGTTCTACATTCTCTGATTTCTAGGGTTTCAGAAACTGGCATTGACTCTTAGTATCGTCCGTTTCTGTTTTTCTTTTACTCCTCTTTGTTCCTGCTCTGAGTCTTTAGACTCTTTGCTCGAAATTAGCTTTCCCAACTTTTGCTTTTTGAGTATACATTCCCCTTCTTTACAAACGTTACATGTTTTCTCTGGCATTTGGACTAGGACTTGCCGCCCGCTCATTTTTAATCCATAGTGGACTAATTTTGTTTTTATGTCCTTCAGTTAAAATGTATACCCAGCGTATCTCCCCGGTTTAAATATTCTATTTTGATTAATATAATACGCTGATCACACATGATTTTTATATTCTTTTCCTGGAATTTTTGCTTGATTGTGTGAATGAAGTTTGAGTGCGTAGGCTCGGTTTGGTTGCTTGGAAGAGTTAACAGACCTAAAAAGTTTATAATTATGCACATAAATTATGATAAATTAACGTCAGCTTCTTTTATTTTGATGAGCATTAAAACAAACAATCATTTGTATGGTTTCTTTACTTTTCTTCTGCAACTCAAATGAAATTTCTGGCAGTAGTCAAGGAATTATACTTAATGTCGTTCCAAATTTTCCCCCTTTTAGTATTTTTTTTATCGTCATGTATTGTAGACATGATCTCAATTCTAGTATGATGAAGAAAATAGTACAGTGATTGAGCACTATTGAGTGATTACAATTTTGCCCTTATGGACTCTCTACAGCAGGTATTTATCCTTTGGTCAAATGTGGAGAAAAGAAAGAACAGCGGAAGGATAGCATCCTATTTCTCATAAAATAGCTTGAGCGACTTAACTTCTTTTTTCTTTTCTTTTTTTTCCTTGGGTGCTGTGAGCAACTTAGCTTTTTGTATCGTTGATTTAGCTCAATTTCTTTGAAGGAATTTCAGGGCTCTATAATGTGTCACATTGATTTAGTAGGTAATAACACTCAGGTGCATTTGGTACACACATTAATTTTCGTGGATGGAGACACGATTTTGTGGAGCAGGGCTTGAGGATTGAGTTGTATTCTTGGCTTAACCAGCTCTAAAAGTTTGTTTTTGAATTTGAAACTGATGTAAGATAGTTTCTGGAGATTTGGGAAAGAATATGTAACCTCGTATATTTCTTAATAGAAGATGTACCCATGTTAAGGTTTATAAATGTGCCCAACCATTGAGGCCCATTAATATTGTTGATGTTATGCGGGACCTTAAATATCATTATCTATGTGTGAAAATGGTTTGGAAGGTTGATGTGAGGAGAGGACAAAAAGGACCTAGCATAGGAAAGTTGTCAAATTTTACACTTTAAGATTGGATTTTTTTTTCCTCCCATCCAATGTGGATACATCTGTTTGATGTAGTGACAGTTTGGGTTGCTTAGCCTATAATGCCTATGCCGCAACTGAACATTTTCATTTTTATTTGAAGAGATAAAAAATGACTAGGCTGCTTTGCTGTCATTCTCTGGTCCATGAATATAATAAAATCTAGCACACTCCCTAAAGCAGATCCTCTTCCCCAATTCCAAATGTTGCAAACAGCAGTCAAGAACATCAAAATTAGTCTGACACCCCAAATCGTTAGGAATCTTACTAATTTACCATTTCACATGATTTGATTTCAAGCGTAACGGAATCTACTCAAAAGTAAGGAGGGAGACAAATTTTTTCCTTTAACCTCACTTAATGAATTGATTTTAAATATATCTGTTTTTGAATGTGAAGGTAACCATATCTTAATATTTTTTAGATCTGATTAAAGTGATGTCCTTCCCTACAGTACTCTTTCCCTTGAAATTGATTGTTTAAGTACTCAGTTTACCATGGAGTTGGCTGGAACTGAAGCTGGACATATTCCCAGATGTTATGCTATGGATATGTCAAAGGATTTCATTCCCATGTCCGTGTTTTCAGAGTCTTCCCAAGGTAATCATGCATCCTTAAGTGACCAGATGTTTTGAATTTTGATTGTCTTCAATAGAACTCTGCTTTAGTGAGGAATTAAGCAGTTGCTTTAATTTATATCTTGGTTTGACATTATGCTTTCGAGATTATTTCAATTTTCATTCTTACATACTCTTGATATTGTCGCCTGATTACAATTCTCTGTTCATACATTATCTGCTTATTGTGCTCTCACGAAATGAACTCTAATTTAAGAAACAGTACAGTGAAAGACTGGAAGATGAGAAAGAATCTCAACACATTCACCGATAAATCCAAGAGAATCTCCAAGATATAATCCGGTTAATCTTTCAGACGTTCTCTCCCAATATTCCTACAACTATTTATAAGCAATAAAACCACTACAGAAGTAAAGCAGAACTGATGCATGATGACTGAAGCATAAAGTAACTCAAAAACAATTGACCTAAGTGGTACTTGCTGTGCATCGTGCTCTGTGATCGGGGAAACTGCCAGTAAACTGTCCTTAACTGCTTTTTGACCTGCTTCTCACTTCCTTTGCCATCATCCCCTCTGCCTTCTTATTTCTCCCACTTTAGGTAATTATAGGACGTGGGTTCCTATCATCATTGTTTAATTGTTTTTTTTTTTTTCCCCCATGTTGAAATGATTGCACTCCCAATATAACCAGCCATGAGGAGGAACTCTTGTATATTCACTATACCAGGAGATTTTTATGGTTAATCTTTTCCGATTAATTTTGAATTTGAATTTGGCCCCCATTGAAGCTATAAACTCAATACCTAGACCTACTTATCCTGTCTATAAACTTCAGCTTTTTCTAATGCATAAGTTCTATATTGACACCTCATGCAGTTACTTTTTGAGCGAAAATGAGAGACCAGTCTTAAAAAGGTTATTAAGAGAACGTTAATATTTAACTTTTGACAGTGCTCTTCCTGTGCGAAACAATAAGTTGCTGATTGGTTAGTTCCTATGATGTCTGGGTTGATGGTGACTATTTTAACAAAAATGGATTCTTGTTCAAGCACTTTTGAATGAGATGTAGGTATGTCAAAGTAGGAAGAATCTTACGTCATACAAATGAAGGGTGACTACTTGATAGTAATCAGTTTGGCACTGAAAATATTGACACCTCAGAAGCAACAGACCTTTTACTGTATAACAATTAGTTAATTAAACAGGGAGGATCTACTATATTCTTGAGTGAGGGCTTGCATTAGATATCTGTACTCTGCAGTATTATGCTTTTCTCGTTTTGGAATTAAGTTGACTATTACTCTTGTTCAAGGCAGATTATTGTTTTGTCTTTTCAATTATTATTTTAGAGGATTTTCTATAAATGCTATCAAACGAGATATTTTATCTTATAAAACAAAGCAAACAAATAAAAGAAGAAGAAATTTTAATGTCAATTAAAACATTTCAATATATACTTTCACCAAAAAAACATTTCAATATATATGTTTTACTTAGACTTCATAGCTTAATTGATATCTGCCTAGTGAATTCGTAGGCACCAACTTTGTATTTTTCTCAGGTAATTGTTGAAACAATGGTCAAATAATTCATTTATTGTCTGTTAAATGTAATTCCATTTTATGTGGTAATTTATTTTCCTTTGGGTTTGTGATTTACCTAGGTACCTTTCCCATGTATCTTTAACTTGAGCAAGTGGAGATTGAATAGTTCCTAATGGAACATGTAAAAGAATGGAGGAGATCAGAATAATGAGGATATACTTTATTACGCTACCCCTGGCAATGTTTGGTTTGAGACTGAAAATATCATAAATCTCCTCTAGTACTGTAATTTTGGCAAAAATTTTGACTGAAACAGTTGAAATTTCTTGTCAAACTGTAGGAAAAATTAGTGTGGAAGGAAAAATACTCAACAAATTTGACATGAAGCCTCATAATCAAAACCTTGAACTCTATGGGAAACTCTGCCGTGAAAGGACAAACAAATATATGGTCAAAAGTAGACAGATACAGGTTTTCTTATGGCTTTTGTAACATGAATTTAATAATTCATGCGATAATTTTCTTTCCTCTGACTCTTCCTAAATTTCATTTTCAGGTTATTGACAATGATCATGGGGCTCATATGAGGCCCATGCCTGGGATGATTACCTTTGCCACTTCTGGGGCCAGTGTATGTCTTACTTTTCCTCGTTAACCCGATTTTTGGCAGATCTTGAACCATGCCTGGAGGGACTTGTTCTTTTAGAGATTCTTTGACATACGTAGACTAAGCCAATCATGAAAATGTATGCGAGTGTGTCAGACATGCTTATTTTGATATCGACTGGGTCTGCTTATGTTTCCCTTGGGGAGACTGGGAGCCAGGGGTAGAAGGGTTAGCGCTTATTATATATTTTGTACTTACTAGATCTAACAGAAGCTATTTTGTTGATTTAGGAAAAGAAGAAAACCCCAACCAAAGCAACTGAAACAAAGAGAACCAGAAGGGACCGTGGAGAGATGGAAGAAATTTTGTTTAAGCTCTTTGAACGGAAGCCAAACTGGAGTTTGAAACAACTCATACAAGAAACTGACCAACCCGAAGTATGTATTCTTAGTGACACGTTTTTCTTAAATATTCAACTCTAATTTATGGGACATTAGTTTGAGATATGTACAGGCAGAACACTCATGAAAAGTAAGTTTTGTCAGACAATAGCCAGTAGTTATCATCAGTTGTATAAAGGACTACACTCTATATGCCAAGTCTAATTGTGAAGAATGTGTTGCTTCTAGGAGAAGTGCATGTATTTCAGATACGCCTGCACACACGATGTAAATGGAGTTTAGGGGTTTGTAAATTCAAGTTATTTTTCAGAAGAAAAAGTGTAGATTTTAAGATGTTTGTTATCAAGTCCTTTTATTTAACTATGATATATGAAATGAAAGAACTCTTTTGTAGGTGTCAATAATGTATTACTGAGTTGGGGGAAATTTACTTGTTATATTTTATTAAGAATCTGTATACTCCTAAATATCTTTTTATCTTTATATATAGTAGGAAAGCCTCTACCATGGTCACCATGTCTGTGTGAAACCCATGCTTCTATATGGCAGACAGTTGCCATTGATGAGTAATCCCAAAACCGTTTAATAGCAGATGCTGTTGATTGATGATGAAGTAGTGGTTCGTTAGAATACCTGAAATAAGTTAATATCCCAAAATCTTGTCCTCTCGCTGTGAGAAATTCCAAGGCAAAATCAGCCTACAAAAAATTAATAAAATGAGCGTATCAGAAGATTTTTCAATAATACCCATTTCAACATGCTTTTCGGTCCATGTGATTTGATTCAGCCCACTAATCTTGAAACTATGTTTCTTTAGCATTCATCTATCCTGTTGGCTGTGACTGTGTTGACTGTGAGTGCTGGACTGACATCTTGCTTTGCTGCAGCAATATGTGAAAGATATACTTAAAGAACTGTGTGTCTACAATAACAAAGGAACTAATCAGGGCACATATGAGTTGAAGCCCGAATACAGAAGATCTCATGATTAAATGCCCAAGATGGTTGATTATATCATGCCCTGATCACCCTTTTTTGGCCCTTCAATTTGTGTCTATAAGTCACTGATTCCTTTCCTGTTGATTTGTTTAGTGCAAGAACACAAGAAGTGGATAATTGGGTTTCTTTGTCTGTTTCAGAACTGCTATAGCATGTCTCCTCACGGTTTAACCATTTGAATGAATCATTACCCTTCCATGCTTGTCTCTTTATCTTACATCTACCGCTCAGCTTTTTGGCTTCACACATATAAGAGATTTTTAGGCAAGAACACTTTATTGAAGATAAATTAATCAAACCAACCTTGGCTTTATTTTGTTAGAGGTAGATTTTATTGATATGTTTATTGTGTGTGTTAATAATGATTGTAAATATATAATTCTCGATAACCAATCCACCTATAGATTCGATTGCTGGTCGCGTGCTGACATGGTTAGATCTCAAATCATTTTGATTGAAAATTTAATTATGATTTTTTTCCTTGTTCTGGTAGTGGGATCCAGCTGTGGGAAAATGCATTTTTTATTATCCCGTGTTTATCACGAGCCAGTTGCATCTCCTATACCCCTCCCTTTCTGCATCTTGTTATTGTCATTTTAATATACTGAATTTGACAAATGCATAATGTCCTCTGTGATTTGTAAAAGAGATCTTGAGTTGCTTACCCCTATGCACGAGTTATTGAATAAGCCATTTTCCCATCAAGGTTAAGGAGTCAACTAAGCATTTCATTCGGATGGAGTCAGAGTTCATCCCTATATTTTATATTAACATATTAATGATTTTGGTGATATTAATTTTGATTTCGAGTCATATGAGATTTTAGGATAATTATTTAGATGGGATGATGCTGTGTATATTGCTTTATTTTGATAGCCTTGTTCTAGAAGGGCAAAGTTGATTATTTTGCACTTTTGACACATTTTAAGTCCAGATTTATGTCATAAGGGTTACGGCGATATTCTCTTGGATTTAAAAAAAAATGGAATATTTTATTACGTCAAAATAATTGTATTACTAACCGAAATTTTATATAAAGAAAATTTAGAATTTACGTCACTAAATCGTATAAGCATGGTTTTGCAGGATAGTTCACAATTCACGTCATAATAACGCTTGAAAAGTAAGTATCTTGTCATGCCATTATATCAAGCTGTTCCACTGTTGGGGAAAAAAAATTAACATTTGAAGAAAAACTAAACACACACTTGATTTATCTTTTATTTTGAGATATACATATACATACAAACATCTTTATTTCAAAAATGTGATTTTTATAAGGGAAAATAACAAAAAAAAAGTACTTGTTGAATTTAAAAAATAATAATAAATAAGTGATTTTGACAGATTTTAATATATCAAAACTATTACAAGAGTAATCAAAATCATTACAAGAATAATCAGTATAATTTATTTGTCCTTTTGAAATTTAATAAGTTATTTTTGTTGTTGTCATTTTTCCATTTCATTACAATAATATGATTTTTTTTAGTGGATTTATAACAATATTTTTAACTTGGTATTAAATTGTGAGGATCAAAAATAGTTTGAGTCCAAAAATATGCCTAAAAATAAAGAACAGCGTGCATGCTCGAATTGTCAATCCCACAAAACAGTGAAACTGACGTATTTCACGTGGCAACAAACGTATAATACTTACTGCTAGTTTGAGTTACCGTCAAAGATTGGGAAATATTGGTGAGTATCTACTAAATTATCCGGTTCTAAATGTAAGACTCATTACTGGACGAGTATTTAGTATCGCCACGAATTGAAGACATCAAATATGGGGATGATCACAACATATTCTTTTTCATCGGAGTATTTACTTCATTTATTGAGTCATTTTCTACTTCCCATTGTTAACGCACATCATTATTATTTGGGCTGTTTGGTTTCCTTTGTAATTAGCCATTGACCCCAATCCAATTTCATTTCGTGCATTGAACAATGCCTTTGTATTTCTTTTTATATACTAATTTGCATCTTAGCATTCGAGAAAACTTATTTGGTAGAAGTCAAATCACATTGAGACTTTAGCACACCTTGCAGACGCATTTTGTGCCAACATGAAATTAAGTTTTTAAATAATTTGAGATGTACTACTAATTATAAAAGCTAGTTGACTGATTTGAGGAAATTAAAGAAAGAAGTTAAGTTAGTTATTTGTAATAAATAGGTGTTGTCTTTTCTAAAATATTCTTGCTAATCAAGTGTATTGACTAGAACTACCATTGTTAAAAGGATTATCTTGAAAAAAATGTATAAATATAAGAGATAAAGTGAATTAAGGTCTTATATTTAGAACCAAAATAAAAGTTAAATAAAACCTTATATTAAAACCGGAGGTACTATATCATTAAAATAATTTAAATATATATTATATAAAATGTAAAAGTTTTCCACAAAAAATCGTGGATAACTATTCAAAGGATTCTTAAAAAACAGGGTAGATAAATATTAAATAAAACGTCATTAATCTTGAAAAAAACGTGGGCAATGACGGGTGAATAATGGAACATTTTCTAATTATTAATACCAAATTATGTTTAATATATTCTATAATTTATGGAAAAAACCACACTGAGCTTCTTCTTCTTCTTCTTCTTTTTGGCCGGAAACATATTGAGCTTCTAGACCATATGAATAATCGCACAGACCTATAAATTAAACTCAATATTTGACCAAAACAAGGATGAAAATAAAAATCATTCCCGTCGCATAAAGGTCAAAAATCATATATTATTGAGCTGGGGATGATTTTTGACCAACCAAAGCGGTAGGAAGGGCTTCCATTGGAAACGAAGAGACATTAAATGATAGCGATAATTAAATTCCAAACGGAATCATCAAAATTCATGCCATTGGTGACTTCAAAATACCACCACGTTGAGCAGTAGGTCCAATTTGGCGTGTGCATACCACAGCCAACATTGACCTTCTCTCCATCTCTCTCTCTCCACGGCCACGTTCCAGCAACCAAAAGTGAGTTAAATAAAAGAAACGCATTTCTTCTTTCTTCATGTTGCTGTAGCATCTCTATTCTTTTTCCTTCCCATCCCACCTACCGCGGTATCATTCCTTGCTTCTTTTGCCTTTTTTCCCTCTCTCTCCCATTTTCCTTGGTTTCTTCGCGCTCTCTGGGCGTGTGGCTCTTTTAACCTCCGACAGGTACATATCTGCGGTTTCTGATTTCTGGGTTGCTGACTTTTTCCTCCAATTGTTTGTTGTTGTTGTTGTTCCTTCTGTTAGGTTTTCGTTTCTGCGATGGGAATTCTGGGTTGATTGTTTGATACCGATTTTGATGTGTGATTGGCCGTTGTACTGTGATGTGATCCTCATTTCAACTGATCTTGATTTTTCTGGAGCTACTATTGTCAAGAAGTTCACAATTTTTGGGATCTGATTTTCTCTTTTGTCAATGCATATAGAAATCCTTGTGGGAATTGAAGTTATGCTTTTTTGTTGTGTTTTTTTTATAAAAAAAAAAAATTTTGGGAGGTTGGGTTCAGAAAGCTCGTTCTAATTCGGCCTTGGGTTGACTTTTGGGGAAGTGAAAGACTAGCATTAATTTAACCTCAAGGGTCGTGGTTTATTGCAGTTTGGAAATAGGAACGAATAATCAATTTGCTTATTTAGTACGACCTTGATGATTAAGTGTTATGGTCATCTCATGACAGGGTTAGAGCGTTTTCTGTATACCTTAGAAATCATCTGAAAAATGGAAGAGAATTAAGATTCTAAAATTTTAGATATGCGTGATCAGATGGGTTTGCAATTGGGTTTTGAATACTGGCATGGAGCTTTCCTTATTTTGAGATTTCATTTGTCTGGATTTGTAAAAGTTATGAGAATTGGTTTCAATTAGCCCTCAACTGTTTGTATTTGAGGATTTTTTTGCTAAATTCGCACAAAAAGAAGTTTAATCAGTTTCTAATTGCTGATTGGCGAGAAACACTAGAAACAACGGGCTGTACGTTTCAATTCCGTAATTTGGTTATACACTTTAGTCAGCTTCTGTGCTTCATGAAAATTTCCTTATTCGTCAATGTGATGAATACCTTCATTGTATTCAATATTTGAATTGTTTTGTTTCCTTGCTCAATGATCAGTTAGGTTCGAAGGTGGGTAAGTCATTATTGAGCTGGCTTTTTGTTGAAGTTAAATTTATTGATGTATGTTAATAAATCAACTAGCAATGGTGTCTTGACATTTATTCAATTCAACTAGCATAAATAACATGCGTCATTATAATATTTGTGTGTCGATAAGTTGATATTTACCATTTAATTAGTTACGCAGGTATTAAAATCTTTGATCCAAAGCAAAGACTTGAATATAACTTGCTTTTGAAAGATAGAAATACCCCTCTTGCTGATGAGCATGTAAAATGCTGGCTTTCATATTGACATTCATAAATTATTTTGTTTAAACTTATTATCTCTACTTCAGTGAATAAGTTTCTTGATTATGCATTGCCATGTGCAGATCTGCTAAATCTACAACAAAACAATGGATTTCTTCTCCAGAGATATAAATGAGGATTCCATTATTAGATGTCCATTCCTGAGGAACATCAATGAGCCTACTAACTTCTCATTCTCTTCATCATTGGCTTTTCCAATGCCTGTAAGTTTTTCATTTGCTCTCATCTAGCTAGCATGTTTGTTGAGAATAATAACCATCTTTGGTCTCTAAGACCTATCTGACAATTTAGGCCATTATTGTGTACTGGTAACTAGAGCTGCTGTTCCAGGAAACACAGTTCCCATTTCCTTGATCCCTAGTGTATTTATACTATTTTTGGAAATTAACTCTCAAATATGTTGCCTAAATATGCTTTCAGACCATTTATCTCCTCCCGTTAGAGACAATAATAATTGAGGGGCTGACACTGACAAATATTTCTCTTTCTCTTATGCAGGTTCGGGGGACTAAAGGTCCAATTTTTGAAGATGGTCCCAATTTTGATCTGGCATTTAGGCTTTTCCACGGTAGTGATGGTGTGGTTCCCTTATCTGAAAGTTCTTTTCAGCTTTCAGAGAAAGGACAGCCCAAGCCTCCTACATCCCAGTTCAATCCCTTAGCAGCAAAGGCAGCAACTATCAGTCTATCATCTTTTGGATTGGGATGGCCTTTTAGTTTTGATTCATTTTCTGAGAAGTGGAACAATCAGAAAAGAAAATCCAAATCTTCAAAAAAAGAACCTTCTTCACGGGTATAACACATTTGTCCTGCTGTCTTATCCGCTTTCTAAACCATCTTCTGTAGGAAAATCTTCAAATAAAGGCTCTAACATTATAAATATCATGTTTGGTAGATCTTCATATCATGATTCAGATTATATTTTTCATTGTCCCTGATGCATGTCAAATTGGTATCTCAGGATAGCTCAAAGCATGAGGCAATGAGCGATGAGTGGCTGCAAACGGGTAACTGCCCTATTGCAAAGTCATACCGAGCTGTTAGCAATGTCCTTCCACTTGTTGCAAAGGTTCTTCAGCCCCCTGCTGGCATGAAATTCAAGTGCCCACCCGCAGTAGTTGCAGCCCGGGCAGCTCTGGCACGGACTGCACTTGCAAAGAACCTTCGGCCTCAGTCACTACCCACAAAAGTTCTCGTGATTGGGATGTTGGGAATGGCAGCTAATGTTCCCCTGGGAATTTGGAGAGAACACACCAAGAAATTTTCACCATCATGGTTTGCTGCTGTCCATGCAGCTGTTCCATTCATAGCGATGCTAAGGAAGTCCATTCTGATGCCTAAATCAGCCATGGCTTTTACCATTGCTGCATCAGTTTTAGGTCAAGTAATTGGATCTCGGGCCGAGCGGTACAGGCTAAAGGCTTTGACTGCAAAAAAATTGGCTCTAACAGAAACTTCTGATATTTCTGCGGGCACAGAAGCCACTGATATCTCTATGAGTACAGAAACCTCCGTCGGCTCAGCTCAGTTACAAGTGATTAAACCGAAAGAGAGACATTGCAGTGATACTGCGAACTGGAATGCAGCTACTCTTCAGCTGGCCGGACCTTCATCAACAGATGTGTTTTGCTGATGATTAGTTTGCTATCTGTGCAATCGCTTCTGTTTGCAGAGTGTGTTTTGAATTATTATCTTTGTATTGATCCATTTTCACCTTGTTTGCCTCTAGGTAAATGAGAAAATAAAAACATACGTTTTCCCATTGAGGCTGTATCCTTTCCTTCTATTATTAAATACTCTATTTCAAAAACGCTTCAATTGTTCAACAGAAATAAATTAGTGCCATATAAAGATTGCAATGTTTGGCTTAATATGCTCTGTCAAGCCATTTTTCTGTGTCTGTTTATTGCTGAAAAATAATGTTACTATACATCGCTGTTTTCCTACAGCATAATATCCGTTCATATCAAAGAGGTTTGACTTACTCAACGTTGGAACATGTTCGTTCAAACGCGTAAGATGCGTGGTTCAACTACTCTTACCTACAGCTCCACTAATTTTCAGACTTGTCCGGAATGTTCGGTACATGGCTGACTAGGCCTGTTCACGGGACGGGTCGGGACTGGGACAGGCCAGTCCTGGTTCCGTCCCGATAAACAGTAACGGGACAGAAAATCTGTCCCGTGTCCCGGTCCCGATCGAGACGGGACGGGATCGGGACGTCCCAAAAAAATTTTTATTTTTTTATTTTTTTAAATTTTTTTAAATTTTTAAAAAATATGATTTTTTAATTATATTTTTTTGGGCTTAAACCTTATAAAAATTTTTTTTTATTTGTTTGGACACTTCTAAACAAAAGCTCAAAATATTACATATAATAGTAATTAAAAATTCTAAACAAAAGCTTTTAACACAATAAAAACTTGCTAAAAATTCTAATCATCAATAATCTCAAATCATTAACAAATATAAAAACTCTAAATAAATATATCTATAGTTCCATACAATAGTCTCAAATCTTAAAAAAAATATTAAAAAAATGATATGATATAAATAGGATAAAAAATTAAAAAAAAAAAAAAGAACCGGGACGGGACGACCCCATCCTGTGTCCTGTCCCGTCCCGGTCCCTTTTTTGTCCCGTCCCGAAAAATTTCAAGACGGATCTGTCCCGTCCCAATAAGACCAGGACCGAAACGGGTCAACCAGGACGGGCCGGCCTTAAACACCTCTATGGCTACGACGTTTTGCTAATCATATGGTCAATGTCATGCATAATGCATTCATTCAATCCACTCTGGACTAACACATGGATTGTGAAAAGAATTTTGATCATTACATGCGATAGCCTTGACGAACTTTGAGTCCCGTTTGGAGTAGCTTATAAGTAACTTTTCAATCATGATTTACATAATACGAGATAAGTATATGAGAAGAGTTTTATCTCGACTTATGTAAAACGTACTTATAAATGATTTCTAATGTTCTGCCAAACAGAGCCTTTATCGCGAGCTGAAACGAGGTGCCTCTTCAACACTATGAATGATTTTCATGGAATCGCTTTTAATCATCCACCCTCAATCCCCAGGGATTAACTATAAATGCACCCACATTTAAAAGCATCACTCAAGTGATGACAATAAACACGAGTGAAATACGGTGAATTTATGTAGTTTCCACTTTCCTCGACTCGACGAACACTTTCTATTTGCCAATAAATCTACCAAGATACCAATCGTCAGTTATCAGAGAGAGAAGCCATTAACTAACTGTAATATAAAACCATAAAGAAGAAATATTTTTGCCATGGCCATGATGGAAGTCCCACACCATGTAAAGTCACAACGGATAGCCAAGACAAGCCTATAAAATGACGCGCTTGTAGATCGAAAACCTCATACCTTTCTCGGCCTTTTGGCTAAGATCAAGTGTAGTATCTGTTCTTATCAGTTTAATATCTGATACGTGGGCCATCGGCCCACATGATATTAAATTAATTTTTTATTGGGGTGGCCCAATACAATAGCTTGCTATTGGGGTTCTCAAGCGTCGCCCGAGCGTTGCACTACGGCTCGGGCCTGGCGCACCCTACCAATGCCAGTATTAAATGCTTTCCTCTAATGATTATACAGGTATGGATGGGATGCAATTATTATGATGAAAGTTTAACGCGGTATGTAGTGGCAAATTAAAATTGTTTATCACCCTGTTTTAGATGGCTGATAATTTTAATTTGATTTTAAATGATTTAGAAAAGATCATAAATATTTATTACAAGTGATTAAATTATTTTATTTATTTAATTTTTTTAAAATTAGTTTTTAATAATTAATACTACTAATTAATGATTATTTTTTATTAATAATTAATATTTAATTTGGCCATATAATTATTTTAGGTCTTTTACGATAACAGTTATCAATCACACAAATCTGAATTAATTCTCTCATGAATCTAAATAAAATCATTATGTAGATGAGGAAAAAATGCAAGGAAGATATAAAAATAATTCTTAACTTTCACACTGATAGTAAATATTTATTTTTAAAATCTCATTTTTATTTTGTATTTGTCAAAATTGACGAATAAATTTTTTTCATAATATGCATATCAAAATGTGCCAAGCACAAAGGCACAGGCCTAACGACTAATGAGTAATTAAAGTTTTTTTAAGTATCTGTTGTTCGTTGGCAAGGAAGAAAAATATTTGTCATTCATTCAAGAGAAAACCTAGCACGTTTTACAATTTGTTTTAAAGAATAAATTATGTACTAAGTAAAACAAGCTTGGCCGGTGCGCAATTTTACCCTTTTAAATCAACTAAAAAAGATATTTTATTCATTTAAGATCTCATAAAATATCAAAATTACTCACAAGTCCTAAAGGACTTTAAAATATTATATTCTAATTGTAAAATGACATTACGATTAATAACCTCAGCAATGACTATTAATAATCTAATGAGAACGTGTTGACAACCTAAATAATATCCGTTGACAACTTATTTTATAGGATCATATAACCTCCACATAAGAGTAAATTATTATCAAATAGTATAATACAATAACTTTAACACTGAAATAAGAAGCTTTTTGAAACCATTCAAAACTTTAATTAAATCCAATAGGATTATAACAAAATTTTAATATAAAGATCCATTGACAACCTCAACAGTGAGTATTAATAATCCAAGAAAAGCTATTTACAACCTAGACAGTGTCTACTAATAACTGACTTTATAGGATAATATAACCTTTAACAATTATGACTAACTAAATTATAACTAAATAGTATTAAAGTTGATCTCATGTAGTTGTTACGTTATACTATTTAGTTATAATTTGATTTTATGTAGAGGTTATATTATCCTATAAAGTCATTTGTTAACAGACACTACCTAGGTTGTCAATAGCTCTCCTTGGGTTATTAATACTCACTGTTGATGTTGTCAATGGATCTCTGTATTAAAATTTTGTTATAATTCTATTGGATTTAATTAAAGTTGTTAATGGTTTCGAAAAGCTTCTCATTTCAGTATTAAAGTTATTGTATTATACTATTTGGTTATAATTTACTTTTATGTCAAGGTTATGTAATCATATAAAATAAGTTGTCAACAGATACTGCTTAAGTTGTTAACACCTTCTTTTTAGGTTGTTAATAGTCGCTACTGAGATTGTTAATCACAATGGTCAAAAAAACATGAATTAGGAATCTGAGGGATAGTGATATCATTTTACAATTACAATATAATACTCTAAGGTCTGTTGATAATACTCTAAGGTCTGTTGAGACCTATTAATAATTTTGACATTCCGTGAGACCTTAATAAATAAAGTCTTTTTTTTTTTGGGAACCTCTGCGTAATTTTCCTTTTCGTTATAGTATACTATCACAATCTCCGTTAGAACCATCCCGTCTTCCTCTTTCTTAGCCTCTGGGACATCTCTTTCCTCCTCCCCTAGACCAGATACTTCCTTGTTTCCCCTCCCTCTCTGAGAAATTACTGAAACCAAATTTATTTTTCTGATATGATTTATTCATTTGCTTTGTTACTGATGCTCGTATCTATTTGGTGGCGTTCTGTGTACACTAATTTATACCTTTTATGGCTATTCAACTGAAGAAATTAGGAAATGTATTTAACATACAATTTGTTTTGAAGTTGCTATTGAAATCGTCTTACTGATCTACCGCACAACTGAAAGAAGGAAAAGTGAGGACGTGAACTCCGTCCAGTTCACATGAAAGTGGAAAACACTACTAAAATCTCATTGAATCTTTATGAGGATTACTTCTAGCAAGAAAGAGCAACTGGTTTTTTCCTCTTGAAAATCTTGTTTCTAATTTATCAGGCGATTCAAATAATAAAACCTTGTTATTGAAGGGATCGAAAGAGAAGTTATATTCTGCAACGCGTGAACAAAATCTCGCAAGCGACATTCTAGGAGGCGCAAAATCAACCGTTTTTCAATGGTGCAGAGCCTGACCACGAGCCTCCGCCTTCCATAGTGGCTGGTGTGGGTACTTCCAGTTTCCACAGAATTTCTTGAACGGTTTTGACGACGATGATTGTGGCGCTCACAATACTTTTGGCCAGCCACCTTCGCAAAGCGATTGGATGAGAGGTAGCGTTCAGGTGAGGAGGAAAGAGATGCTGCAGAGGCCAAGAGGAAGAGGGCGCGATTCTAACGGCGGTTGTGTTTGTGATGGCGTTAGTAAAAAGGTAAAATTGATCTATTTTTAATATATGAGGAGTGAAATTACAAAGCACCTGTAAAAATATTTTAGAATGCCATCTTAATCCAAGTTTAAATAAGAATCTGTGATAACTCAATTTAATAATCAAAAGCATCATCAAAATATTCAAACATAAAAAAAAGCTATCATCCTACTTTGAAAAAAGTTATTTATCTTGTTTGATGGGATTATTTTTCCGGCAAACAGGACTAAATTTTCTTACTGAAGAAGAAATTGGCACCGATATCAGCCCTAATTTACCATTGTCATCATCACAATTTCGTTGCATCGTTGCACTGCTTCGCTGCTTTGATTGTTTCGATCCAATTTGAAACTTGTCGAAATCGCTCGATGGCAGCGAGCTCTTCACTGCCCCGTGATATTCAGAAGTTCGGATATCCTTGGCCGGAATTCAACGACGGTCTCTTTTACAACGACATCGTGCGACCCTCCGATTCTGGTGCTTACTTGCTTCTTAATTCTATGCTACAAGTTTTCAGCCGAGTTTAAAGAAGGAAAATTTAATCGGAATTATTTTTGCACTTTCTTTTTCCCTACTTTCCCACCCGTCTCCCTGCATTGCCGGCGCAGCCAAACGAGACCTCCTTTTTCCCTCCAATTTCTTGTTTGGTGTGGATAATGCTTACAGAAGCATGTATCAGTTCACTTACTAATCATACTCCAATAATTTCAGGCTTGACATTGTTGGAGTTCTACTCGAGCAAGTACAAGAGTTCAGCTCCCTTGCAAGGGTAAGCTACCTGGAACCACTCAGACTTCATCAAAATTTATAACTATTATGATTAACTTTGTTTATTTTTGGGTCTTGGCCCTGCTTAGGAACGAAGGAAAATAAAGTAAGTTGGGCACGGTTAATGTCATCAAAAGCTACTTTTTCCCCTCTTCTGAAAAAAAAAGAAGTAATTGAATATGCTTCCTTGAGAATCACTAAAAGGAGAATGAGTTTCAGTAGCTTCTGATATGTATGCTAACCTTCCTTCACTCAAACGGCGTTTGAAAGTGCTAGTCAAGCTAGCCGAAAACGAGTCACTGCATTTCTTTTCATAAGCAGAAATAGATCATCACCGATGAACGTGCTTAAGATTATTCAGATCTTCTCCTAAATCCAAGAGAAAATGGTAACTATAAGCTGATCCTTAATACCACAGAAGAGCTAATTAATTCTTGCCAACGGCTGAGCTGCAATATGATTTCTACCCAACGGTTTCTTCCAGTATCGTTTTTGGGGTAGAATAGTGTTTCTTCCTGCACACGTCTGTTTAGTTCTGTGGGAATATCTGTGTATAATTTGAATTTTTGGTCATTTCTCAGACTTAAAGTTTCTTTTGGTTTTACGAAGGCTCCTGAACCTCTTGTATTTTAATTCTCCTAGGCTCTTTGTAAAATTATTCTCTTATAGAACGTTCTTTGTTACCCAAAAATACTCAGTATTTCAGTATTGATCTTCTCCCCGCCCTTTTTCCCAATAAAAATATCGTACTGACATTTTAGCAGTTGGTTGCAGCGTTTTCAGAGTGAGCAGGTCTGGTCGTCAAGGAATCTGAATTAGTAGGCTATACGGAATGAATTGTCTCTACAGCTCAGTCTAATCCTCATTAGCATGTTGTCTGCAGATAACAGTAGATGGAAAAGTTGTTACAGATCCCAACACAGTCCTCAGGTTATTTGATGCAAATCTATTATTGTAGGTAGATCCTCACTTCCATAACATGTCTAATTTTTTCTTTTTATTTATGTTAGAGTTGGCTCAGAGTTAGTCTATCATAGGCTTCCATGGAAGGAACCTAATGCACCATACATGATTGAAGTTTTGCATGAAGATGATGACTTGGTAATTTTTCTTTATTTTTGTCACTATAATGCGTTATCATGTCAGTCTCTTCTTGTTCGTTAATTGCTCTGGCATTTTTTGATTTACACTGTGCCTAGAGACATAGGATGCTACCGTTTTGCTGTTTTTTTTATTCACTACAAAACAAAGGAGACCTCACGTTCTGAAATTTTCTGCTTTCTCTGACTTTTGATTCTAGATTTGAAAGCTTTTTATGGCCAAAAGGGGGTAAAAAACCTTCAAATGTCATGCCAAATATGTTATCGAGGATTTTCTATGCTCTAATACCTATTGTGTCGAGGCATTTGATATTTTAATTTACCAAAAGGAGCATAAATCATTCAGAATATTTTCCTGTTCCTCCGAGCTAAAATAGATTGTTTCAAGTAGCAAACTAATAGATTATTTTTAATTAGTTTTGGTCATCAACTGGGATATGTCTATTCAATTTGATATGAACAAGTTGATATGCATTCAGATTGCTCTGAATAAGCCTTCTGGCCTGCAAGTTCTACCTGGAGGTCTTTTCCAACAAAGGACAGTTTTAACACAGCTCCGGTGGCAAGCAAACAATCAGGGAACATATGTGGCATGCCAGGGGTCTCACCCTATTCCAGTACATCGGTTGGGTAGGGGAACTTCAGGTTAAACTGAATACCCATGCTAATATTTATAAGAGTTAAGTTTGAATTTGATGTACTGCAATTCAGAAATGTTACGAGCATGAGTTTTTTGAGAGATAACTTCACTGCTTAGATCATGTACAAATCAGTGTAAGATATGGACGCCACTTGTGAGGAGTTTGAAACCCTTCACTAATTTCTTAATTGATAGTTTAAATGGAAGTGGAAATAGTATTTTCTAAGTCATTCCCTGAGACACTACGTAAGTATGACTGACTAAATAGTTTTTCTAGACCCTAGCTAACATTTTAACCAGGTTGGCAATTCTTCACTCTTTTCAAGATTGATTGATTGTATCTCAGGAATTTTACTATGTGCAAAGACAAAGCTAGCTAAAGCTCGACTTGCATCATATTTTGCCGATGGAACATCTCATATTGAGGGAAACAGGTTTGTTGCATCTGCTTATTCTTTCTGCATTAAAATAAAGATGTATCAGCTCAAAAAGTTTGCATTTGAAGTTTTAAAATAAATATGTGTGTGTGTGTATCGATGCCTTTGTGATATATCTGGCCATATATCATTGATAACTTCCTGAGTTGTTTAGGGGTTTCAAAAGAGACCGTTGGTTTGTTATGCTTGGTTGGAAGGAGATCACCATTCACTACCGCTATCACTTGTCTGAGAAGTGGTTGCTGGTTATTTAGTTTGTACCATGCTGTTACTTAAGACCATGATTGCATTAAAAAAAAAAAAAAAAAAAAGATTGTCACCTCTTTTCACTTATCGTATTCTCTTGTTTCCAATAACAGAGATTCCAACAAGGAGATTGGGAAAATTGCAAAGATTTATCGGGCCCTTGTAAGTGGGATCGTTGACAATGATAAGGTAATTTCCTGTATAAGTTTGACAAGGGTATTTGATTGTTCAGGGATTTCTAATAATACCCCTCTTAAAAAAGGGATTAAAGAAAAAGCAAAATGAGATTAAATGAGATTTAAAGGGTCTGGAAGTCAGTAATTGTTTATTCAAGTGATTGCGAGACTTGTTACACCACAGGAAGTCGTTCTCTTCTATAAATTAGATTTAAAGCTCCAGTAGCTTATGTAGTTACTCCGGTTATTTAGAGGTATTAGGTGAAGTTCCATAAAACTAACTCTGTATTTTTGTAACGTCCTTCTTCATCATTTATTTTTGTTCTGATTGTTGCTCGAGATTGTATTAAATAGACTGAGTCTATTTAGTTCTCCCATGTATGTCGAATCAAAAGGGCAATAAAGTTTTTCCTTTTCAGCCAATTGGGAGATTCAGTTGTTTGTTCCTTTTTATATAGGATCCTTTCTGCTTTTTCCCCTTTTTTCTCTAAACTGACTTGCTAGAACTACGATGTTTAAAATACATAGCTTTCACTTATTAAAGGAAACGTAACTTTCACAACGTACTGATTTTTTCACTCTATAGGTGATTATCAAGCAGCCAATTGGAACAATAAAATATCCTGGTGTTGCTAAAGGGCTGTACGTTGCTTCTCCGTCAGGTTGGTTGTTAATGCTTCTTTCAAAACCATAATTTGCATAAGATCATGGTCCTTTGTTACTTCAGCCAGATGTTTACTTAATAAACCATAATCTTTATTGAGCTACCGTTACATGCCTTTGTCATAATATTTGCTATTTCATCATATGCCAACAAATTTCTTCACATTATTTTGACATTTCCTTTTCTATCGTTTAATTAGCTTTTCATCATCTTATGTTCTGTTCTTCTCATTGAGACAGGAAAACCAGCTCTCAGTGTAGTGGATGTGCTAGAAAGAAATATACAAGGAAACTGCACATTGGTCCAGGTGTGGCTGAATTTATATGATTATATATAGTTATATGCTCCTGTATCTAATTTCTAACTCCGTAGACTCAGGTTCTGGGGAACATGCAATATCATGAGAAAAAAATGAACGTACAATGATTCTTATTTATTTTAAAAATTTATGAAAAAAAAATATGATCATTTTAATATTGTATTTTATCATATACAGCAAAGCAAGCATATTGCTGAGCGCATTTGCACCTCGGTATCTTTAATCATAATTATGTGGCATCAAGAGTCTGAGGTGATGGCTGATAAACATTACCGCTGGGTGTGGGTGTGGGTAATAAAGAAGTTCAATATGTCATATGCATGTGGATTGACAGAAGGTCTACCTAGGTATCCTGAACAAAGTAAATATTTGTGGCTTGCATGCATTTAAATTGTGCTGGTTATATTATAATTTTCTTGGATTGGGTTGTCTAACAGGTTCGGATACAATCTGGAAGGCCACACCAAATCCGCATTCATCTGTCTTTCATAGGGCATCCTCTAGTAGGTAAGCATTGAATTGACGAGTTATTTATGTTGCTTCATGTGAAAAGTATTCAAGTGAAATTTTCCGAGTCTTGTTATTGGAAGATACACTAGTCTAGTCGGAGAACGAATCACTCTTCCCATGAAAAAGTTGTTGAATTTTGCAAGCTCACGTCATATTACAAGCCAAGGAGACTTCCTTTTCTGTCATGGATATAAATCGCTGTCCTTCGTAGGCCTAAGTTTCCGAGGCACATTCCTATTTCCATGTTTTATTATAGTGAAATTAGATCCAGGCCGTATGCTATGGGGACATCTTGCTCGTGTCTCCATCAACCTGGACTCATCAGATATTGTAATAATGCTTGTGTAAACGGTGCGCTCAATTGCTGACCAAAAAAAAAAAGGTGTCCATAATCCATATCATCTGGTTTCCAGTATCTTGAGCTTTATCCTTATTTTCCGCTTTGCCATTTTCATTTTACATGTCAATATTTGCATTTTTGTGTCGTAGATCAGCAAATAAACCAATTTACGTTATTGCTAACTCCAACTGCTTCTCTAATAGAAGCTCCGCGTTGTCCATTTGCATTCTCAGCATAAATCATATAGGCAAACCTCAATCACGGATCAGTTAACTTGCCTTCCCAGGAATTCTTAAATCATTTCATTTTGGGATCTCGCGTTTAGTCTCTGCTACTGCTGATTAATTGTGATGCGCCTATTTAGGAATAATTGTTGGAATGAATCTTGATTTCGGAAAAGCTTAAACATTAGCTTGTCTCTTACCAGGCGATCCGCTATATGCAGTTGGTGGGCAGCCTAATTGCTTTGACTACAATGTTCCCGATGAGATATTTGCTGAAGATGGGTAAGGACTCATTATGGGACACTTCAGTGAGTCATTCGATCTTGTAGTCACACATTATTTCAAATTCTCTCCTGCAATGATCTTTGCTATATATTGTGTACAAAGTAACTGGAGAACATGACAGAGCCCCTACAAGTTTGTGGAATTAATGCATGTGCTTTCCTGATTCTTGACTTCTGGCCTTTTAACAAGCATATTTAAGGACTCTATTTTCTTTGCTTTTAAAATAGAAAACAGCCATTGCTAATTGGAAGACTCTGCATGCCCCTATAGAAGTTTCAGGGGCCAAAAGTTTCCTTTGCATGTGATTCTAAAAGATATATGCAAATTATGGAAAGGACAGACCCTTTACAGGAAATAAGTGCTGGAACCTAACTACTTGGTTGACATGATCAACAATAGCAATTTTATGGTATCTTTGTAACTGTCACGTAACCCTCAAGTTAAGCAGTGACATATGGTGGACGAATTTGGATTATTTCCTCAGTTCCGTCTGTTTGATTATTCAAGAATTACAGAAAGTTAATTTGAATTGTGTTCTATTGCTGTGTATTATATAGGGGTTACCAAAAACCTACTCAGCCTGTTCCTGGAGACTGTGGTTACCATCTGCACGCACATCAGCTGGTCATTTCCCATCCCAAAACAAATGAGGTATAATATTACTTTTAATCGTGATCTCAAATTCAGTGATCCCATGACTAGCCATTTAGTAACGGATGCAAGGATTGTTTTAGTTGCTTTTATGCCGTTTTGCTGCATGGCTTCATTAGGTAGACTTGACTCAATTTTTTTGGGTCTAAAACGGGGCTCAAGTCCCGAAAGACATTTTAAAAACCTCTAGGACAACCGGTAAAGTCAGGCAGGGAGTTCATCAATGGGAGGGTGACCATATAAGGACCGTTAAAATCTGACGGTTTTAATTTGTTCTTCAGGTGCAGCTTTTTTTTTTTGGGGGGGGGGGGGGGAATGGGCAGGAGGTCCGGATCAGGGAAACCTAGTAAGACTTGTTAACTAGAGTTTTCTGTCAATTTTTCTATTTAAAAACTAGCAATAGCTCATTTGGTGGTTTTGCTGCTCTGCATCCTCACATGCTTACTCACGATCCTCCATATTTATCTGTATTCGTATGCTTATGTAATCTGCAGCTTATTGAGATCATTGCACCCGTTCCGCCGATCCTCCAGACACAGGCAGAGGCCATCAGCGTTAAATGGAACCCAAGTAGTGAAACTCTGGCAGTTTGAAAACTGTTGAGATAAAAACTTTCAATGGGCTTATACGATTGACTATGTATGAATCGTCACAATTTACAAGGTTACATTCGAAGCCCGCCAGATGTTAGTAATAGGTATGCTCTTTCAAAAATGGGGTGATACGTGATTGTTCGAAAAAGTTGGCACTGACAAAAAGTTTGGTCCGCCTATTAATGCACGATACGCTCAAAACATTTAAGCAATAACAATTTGAGGAAAATCTTAGAAAGTAGCAGAATAGGCCAAAGCACCTTTATTAGTGCACAATTTATATAGCACGTAAGTGCTGGTGATAAGCCAGGTATTGCTTTTAGAACAGGTGCAGAAAGCCTGCACTCCTTGACAAGTGACGCAAGTCACACGAGACCACTCCAACAAAGATCGTCAGAAATTGAAACAATCAGCCAGGCAACCAACTAGCTAGATGATGATCAGAATGATGATCCAAAAAGGGGGGAAAACAAAGTTGCTGCCATATTACAAGAACCTAAATAATTTATCAAAAAGACAGGCTTGGGAACCTGTCAAATCGACCTATCACTGTATTGTTCAATAACAAAAATATAATACAGATCGCGGCAAAAGAAAACATTTGCCGCTGAACACATCTACTACCTGCTTAAGTCCCCTTTCTTTCCTCCCCATGATTCGTCTTCCCTCATGATACTTCCATTATGACCACCATACTGGTCAGAATTGGAATAATGCATTTTGATGGCTGCCACAATATCTGAGACGCCACTGTGTGATCCTCCCACCCGAATCCCCGGCCTCCCTACACCATTCAATCCAACCATTCCTCTCCCTTGCTGCTGTAAATTTGCTATTGCTTCAAAACCATTTCGTCTCTGCACCTCAGAGTATACTTCTTGGCGGTTTTTCATGTCTACCATAAATGGCTGCACTTTCGGGGCATCCCTACTTCTAAACATCTGATAATCAATCACACCATTGCTGCTATTGATTTCTCGAGTTGTAAACGCAGAGCTATTCAGCTGCTGTTCATTACTCTTGGTAAATGTGTGCAATGACTGTTGCTCCAGTTTAGCTGACGAGGTAGCATAATTATTAAAGGCAGCAGGATATTTTGCAAGCAAGATGGCAGAATCAGGCAATGATGGAATGCCAGTCTGTATTTTATTCCCATCCCAATAACCATAACTCCTCATGGGAACATTTTCAAGGCCTATGTTGTAATCACCACAATCAAACTTCAAAATTGTTGAATTTCCATCAGGATTTTGATGGCAGTGGCCATTGAATTTCAGGGTAGAAGACTTGCTACTCGTCTTTGGCTGACGGGTACCAGTTTCCTCACGTCCCTTGGAATTCAAATTAGATTTTTGATTGGATGAAGGATTGGTTAATATCTTCCCAAACAACTTCACATCACCATTTCTGGATGTCACTTCAGAATCTGCTGAATGGCACAACTCTGATTTGTAACGATTACAGGCTTGTTCAATCTTTTGGGATGTGTGTGTCAATTCAGACGCCGAACTGCTGCAACTAACATCACCCCTCACTTCTTGTTTAATGGGCAAGGAAAAGCGCTGCAGGATGCTACTAGGCTCAACACGGTCCAATAAACAGCTGGGAATATGAACACGTTTCCCATCTTTGCTTGTGGAATTTTGACGGTGCACGTCTATACTTCCCTGAAAATTAGACGCAGAAGGTAGTTGATCTTGAACAGCTTTTTGTTCTCCTTGAACAGCAACAGCGACAGCATCTTGCAACAATAATTTTGCATTGGACTGAAAATTCCCCCGCGGCAATGCTGATATACAGGGCTCTCCAAGAGACACTTGATGTTTATTTTCAACTTCAAGATTCAAGCCTGTACGAGAAGCGCCTGCAGTTAAGGGTGAAGCATTCACCATTGTACTTGTACCTCGAACTGAGCTTCCTGATTCAGCTACATCAGCAACTGCTTCACATTTATTATTCCTATCATCAAGACACGGAGGCAGTGATTGTTTCTGCCCTGTTAAATCCTTTCCAAAACCCCCAGAAGAGATCTCAGAAACCACTTTAGCCTCAACAACAGAATTAGATTGGCATGGTACTGACTCTGTAACTGCACCCTCCAATTTATTTCCTTCATCACTAACTAACATATTCATAGATGTCCGGCCACTGGCAGCAGCAGACTTGTCAGAACTGTACAAGACATCCCCACCATCATCATAGCACAGTTTAGGCTTTTCATCCATTTCACAAGCATCAGAAACCATATCATCCACACCATCACCATCTTGAACCCCTTCTGCCCCAATATTATTTGATTTATTCAAATCAGTTGACAAAACCCTGACTTCAACCGAATTAAATTCATCAGAGCATGTATTCATGAGAGACACTGGCTGGTCCTCATCAGTTTTAGTGCCTGACCTATCAGGGCCAATTGCCGAACCTGTCTCTACAACACATGCATCATCTGTATCACTCCCACCACCATTTGCATCATCATTCGCTGGGTATCCTGCATTTATAGACTTGGGCCGCATAAGATCCAATCCAAGACATTTCCTAGCCTTGCTGAAGAATACTTTACACTGATCTTGGGACCTTGAACCTACACACCGTGAGATCTTAGCAAAGTCCTTTCCATAAGATGACACAGCCTGAAGAAAAGCTGACCTCTCCTCATCAGTCCAATCAGCAGGATCCATCTCCTCGCAGCTCTCGTCTGAACAGGAATCATCATCACCACTCTGAATAACATCAGGTGTCAACAACTGCTTTTTCCCAAGGTTTATTTTCAAACTCCTGTCCCTGCTACCCTCTACAGGATCAACAGAACTTGTTATGCAGGAACTCATAGCCTCAGATGATATAGAACCACTTATACCAGCCAAAACATCAGCCGCAACTACCTCTCTCTCGTCCCTAAGAGCATCAAAACTGTTTGACATCTCTAGGAGACTATCCTCAACCTTAGATCTTTTCACATTACCATAGCCCCCTAAAAGAGAACTTCCTGAACGCAATTTCTTATTACCATTTATTCTGTCTGCATGGCCCGCTATCACTGAAGCTGCACTCAAAATCTCAAGTGAAGCAGCATTTATTTCTCGATTCCATTTCTTTCCTGATGCTACTAAGTCAGTGTTGGTCAAATATGACTTCCCTAGCTTTCTAACATCCTTCTTAATTTTGTCAAAACACTCAGATTTATGATTTTTGTAATAGAACTCAACACAGTCAGCAGTTGTCTTGTGATCAAGAAAAGAAGAAATTTTCCGGAAGTCTTTCCCAAAAGCAGCAAATTTCTCCATGAAAATCTCTCTCTCTTCGGATGTCCAAGGGTTGATCATCGCCCTCTCTTTCTCATACGCCAAAGGATCTTCAACCAACCCATTACTACACGGAAACCTCAATATCATCTTCTCCTTCTCATCCAAAATTAATGCTGGCATCTTCAAGGCGCTCCGGTAAACTTTAACTTGGGGATCAGAGAGAAGTTTGCTTGCAAAATTATTTATCTCAGATGTTGGAACAAGGCTTAAATTATTTCCTGCACAAAAATACATTTATCACCACCCAAATGAAATATAATTGCAGGCAATCCTAAGATCAGCGAGCTAAATACTTGTTTATAAATCGCCTCAAATGAACCTACCCCAAAACTTTAGGTGCCAGCAATAATTGCAGGCAATCCTAAAATCAGCAAGGTAAATATTTGTTTAATAACCTAAAATATATACATTTAAAACTCGCACTGCTTCTCCAAATCAATGAGAACACCTGTGATCCTACTAACAAATTAAAAATGTTTCCATGAAGAGTAAGAACTTGCTGTGTTTTCTGCCGATGATTAACGTTGACATAAATTCAGTCTAGTCTGATAAAAATCGGAGCTCCAGTTACCAACAGTGTCATGGAAATCAGGCCATAGAAATGCTAAATAAAACTGAAAAAGAATGCTACTATCGCAAGCACCATGGCCAGTAGCCTAACACCCAATGCAGCATCACACGCATTAATCTCTACAATATTGAAAAATTCAACTACAAGCCAGACCTACGTGGCCTGCTAACATTGAAAATACAGCTACCATATCAACCATCCAACAAGGCTAACACAAACATTGGTTAACAATAACATAAGTATGGATATCAATATAACATACTGAAAGTATTGGAAGCCACATCGTTCACAAATCATCAACAATACAATTGTTTTCTAATCAATGCATGCACACAAGATAATAGGCATCAAAATCATCACAAATGCACCGTATATGCGAATAAAACCCAACCTGCAGTTAAAAAAACTACAAATTCTGCTTTTTCACCTCAAGAAAGCAACCATTGCCATATGGAATAAGTAGAATATTCTAGACAGTTGAGATAAACAAGAGACAGACAATTGGAACACATTTGGCAAACAGACATGATGAAGAAAGATTCATACCAGGGTAGGATATCCGAGAACGAATGGAGGACCGATTCTTTTGAAAACCATTATTAGTAGTTCGAATGCCCGCTTCAAGTTTCTTTTGAGATTTTGGGCGGCATTTTCGTACAGACAGTAATCGCATATCTTCTTTCCATTGATGATGCAAGGCTTTAAACTTTAGGGTTATTACTCGCTCCTTAATCCTTGCTAACCGCTTTCTCTCTACAAATTTTTCTCTAACAGCGGCAGCTGAAGAGCATGAATCAGTGATAGCTCTTATGTTACCAATCTTAAAACAATCTTTTGGCAATAACTGAGCAAATTCTTCACACACTCTGTTTGCATATTCTTTATTAGAAGAAATAATTGCATTACACAATATATCCTCAGATCTAGAGCAAGCACTTGCACCAGGAGCAGCACCCATGTCATCTTTTATCTCCATAGCTCGCTCACTAGTGGAACAAGGGACTAAGCATCTACTGCTTGCAGATTGAATGGCATCAAAGCCTCCAGAGCAATTATCATTTCCGCCTATATCACATGAAGAGACAGTTTGCATAAGAGGTTGAGGCTCCACAAATTTAGAAGTTGCCGTTCCAGGACTATCAATATCTTCCTCCTTGCCATTTTCATGAATATTATTCACTTTAGTTGAAAGGGAAATCTTCTCAACATCAGGATCAGCAGAAGAACAAACCTGCAATGGCTCAGGCCTGGAGACCTTATCATAGCCTCTAACTTGTTCTTCACAAGACTTTGTGTTGTTTGCCACCACTGAGGAGCCCAATGCTGCAGGACGACAGCTATTTCCAGATTCAGATTTCAGTGACTTCAACTCACTTTCTAGTAAATCTATTTCAGCTTCAGTAACCTCCAATACCTTCGAAAGGTCAGCTTTCCATATCAGCAACTTATTCATTGCAGTGGAATTTGCTGCGCTAGGATCCACAGAACTTGGGTCATCAGATTGTAGCAACCCAATAAGTGAAGAACCCAAACTACTAAGGGAATCAATATCCAACTTCTCTAAATTCAAAGAGAACGTCTGTAGATGATTCTGAGGCCCGGGGTCCAATAAGCCATTCAAATTACTAATATCATTGTCGCTATTCACGGCTTTTCCATACAATTTATCCTCCACACCTGCTGAATTGCGAAATTTACTTTGATTAATAACTAGTAAACTTGCCAGACTGACGGAACTATATTACACTTCTGCTACTCAAAGGATGAAATATAATAGAGTTCCTCTAATCTCAGGGAAGCATATAACTTCTTGAAGTAACTGGGGAGATGAAATAAAATGAAGCATTTAACAAACAAGAAGCACAAAAAGCAAATAAAACCGTCTGTATCATACTTTTGGCTAAACAGTAAACAGCAACAGGTTAAAGGAATAAACTTCATGAGCATAAAAGAAAAGATAGCAACAATCCTAACAACACTGCAATCCACTTCCAATGAAGACAGAAGAACAAAGCCAATGATTGCATAGAGATATTAAAAGCCCTGCTAATATAACTCATTCAACTTAAAAGGATCGTATATTTGACCACACGTGTGGACCATATGTGGAGTAGAACAGGCATAGGAATGTGTAAGCAGACATCACAGGAAGAGGCATTACACTTCTGTATGATGACATAGCTTGATAAACACCCCAAGGACATAGATGGTAATTGACTGGTAATAGTAAGCAAAGTCAAATTCTCATGTTTTATTATTAAGAATAATCATTTCACCATCATCATGCATCACTTCCACTGAAGGGTTAAAGAAAAGGAACACACCAAAGTCAGGATCAAGGGAAGTACAAACCTGGGGAGGAACTGCAGGCAACAGAAGATGGAGTGGCTGGAGATGCACAATCTGAAAAACCTGTAACTTTTGGGCTTTTATCTAGTAAATTTGAACCAAGAAAATTAGAGGGTTCAATATTACTAGTAGACAAGACAGGCCCATCCTTGCTTGCACTCGCATCAGGTTCCTCAATTTTCTTTTTCTCATACTTTGCAAGTCCCTCACCCCAATTCAACCGAGGCTTCTTCCTGGATATCATATCTTCAGAGGGTGCAGAAGATGTCGCACATGCAGCCCCATCCCCTGAATGGGATTCAATAGGAGTTGCAATTTTTGGATGCAATTCAGATTTAGCTTCATTGGAATCTGCCCCTCCACTCCTTGAGCTACTTGTGTGGCTAAAACCTGAGCCTCGTGAAGACAAGCTTCCAGAACGGGTCCATTTAAGAGGCTTCCAGTCAATTGAACCAAGAGAATGCTCTCTATCCAATCTCTGTGCGTTACCCAACCCGTTGACACCACCCATCTTATCGTGCTGGTCTTTCATATGATGCTGATCCCAAGTATTTACAAAATCGGAATGATGGTGAGAAGGATATGTTAGCATGTCATCAGCTGACCTCTGGTCAATAGTCACATCCGATGGCCTCCTGGACAAATTTGGAGAGCCGTTGCTGGCCTCCCATGAATGTCCTCTCCAATCTCTCTGGCTAAAGGATCCTCTATTTTCCCTACTGTTTCTACCATATTTTCCATCTCCTCGGGAAACGGATGGACGACAGTTCTCTTCTTCCAGCATCTTTTCACTGGACCGAGATTGTGCATATCCATGCCCAGAATCTTCGGAAAACAGGTGCCAACTTCCCTGCTTACCATGACCTTCAGAAAATTTGTAAACAAAAACAGGGAAAAATAGAAGACATCAACACAAGCAAAGTATATATTTTTGTTCACAAAAAAGAAAAGAATGGCAGAAAAATCTTTTAAAGGTGGGAAGGGAAGATTTGCACTTCGCGAAAGTATTTTGTTAAAACAAGCGACTCAGATCGTCAACATACCAACGCAAACATACGACAATGGATCCAGAGCATAAGACATAATCAATCAATTAAAGAAAAAAACAAACTTGAGAAAATTAAAATGAAAAAGAGATGAATTAGCCTCGAGCAGAAGCTCCAGCTCCTTATAGGCTGAATAACCAAGAATTTGCAACCTAGACATCATCAGGACATAAAAGACACAAGATAACAAATCACCTGGCGGTCTGCGGAAATCGGCCGATCCCCAACGACTGAACTCTCGGGAACCATGATGAGAAGAGTCTCTCCATCGCGCCACAGAGCCCAGCGATTCAGACCTCTCGTGCTTCCTCTCCTTGAAGAAGTCCTTCCGGTCCCACGGCAGTGGTTCAGGCGGCATGAAAAACAACCCAATAGCAGGGGCAGCCACGGAAAAACCGTAGCACAGCACCACACAAGAATAAAATCAAGTAAAAGCGCTCCTAAGTGCAATTCATACAATCCCACAGGCCAGATCGTACAGGCGGCACCACATACACCAAATTTAACAGCACAGTAACAAATCTAGGGTTTCAAAGGCCAGCCACGAATAAGTTCGCAGCTGATAAAACGGTGATTTGCTAGGCCCCCCGCCCCAGATCGAAGAGGAAACCGTATGGGGCAACCAATACAAACTGCGCCGCACCAATCTTTGCCTCCCGGTATAGTCAAAAACTTCAAAACCAAAGCAAGAGTCCTTAAGGTTTCATAAAAAAGCGAATAACTTCAAAGGCAGCGGTTCAGATCGACAACGAAGCCAATAAATAGCGCCCAAGCCATGGATTCTTCATCCCCCCTCTTGTTTATCTTGAAGGCTAGAGTCTCCACTTCATAGAATCCCTGCCCCCGGCCTTCTCTGCATCTCTCTATAAATTTTCTCCTGCTTTCTATCTCTTTCCTGGCTGGTGGAAAACCTGCGTATGGTCGAGAAAGTGAGAACGTGAGACGATAAGGGACAAAAGGGAGCCTGGAGAGAAAAGAGAGATACCAGCAACGGACCTGAACGCTGATTACGAACTATATTTGAGTTCTCGTTTGGAATCCGGCAATTTATCTTTTATTTCTTTTTTTATTTTGTTTATTAAAAAAACTTTTTTATCCCATGGCGTATCTTTTACTTTTTCTTTTTTATGTATTTTTCTGGGTCGATTCACTTTTTTTTACTTGGGTAATGAGGACATAGATGAGAATGGCCCATGGCTGGGCCGATATTTACGGGAGTGGGCCTGTGAATTGAATTGGCGGGCTGTCCTTACGTGGCGTTCTCTCATCAATCGGCCCTGTTTGTTTGACTCTAGCGTGAGATCATTTGTAAGTAATAAAATTAACCCTTTTACCACCATTTTATTACTTCAAGGGTGAGTTTTTTTAAAATTATAATTTTTGTCCCGCGTTTATTAATCAGGTAATAGAATTATTTTTTTTCAAAAAAGTTTATTATACATAATTCTAAATTATAGTCATAAATGGTATAATTTATGATAAATTTTAGTATGTATATTGTATATATGATCAGAATTAATATTACATATAATCATTTTTAGCCAGTCTATAGGGAAAAATTATTTCTTATTGGAATTAGAATGTATAAAATCCCGGAAAAGCATAATCTAAAATGATGACATGCCTTTTTTCTTTCTGCCCAATATATATATTTATATATATATGTATATATAAAAATTGAATAACCCTAACAGCATCCCTTTGAAAGCAAGCATTCAAAAAAAGTTAAAAGCTTCATTGGGAATCGATACATATATTTTCTCTTAATTTTTAACTCTTAAATAAATTATTTAATTTTACTTTTTTACCAACATTAACTCTTGTAACTTTATTCTGTTATCATTTTTTAGTATCTATGTAAGGATTAATAATATTAATAGAATAAAATTAAAAAATTAATTAAAAAAACACGTGATTATCAAATTAAAAATTAAATAAAAGTATAGATGTCTCCAAAATAGTTTATCAATATTGACAAATATCACTCCCAAATAAAACGAAAAATACCTGCCAAACCTGCCTGATATTTCAGGGATATGAACCTTTTTGCATATTAAAAAAAAAAGCTTTTAAATATGGTCTTAATAAGTCTCCTTCCAAAAAAAAAACTCAAACTCGAATTTGGAATTATCCGTAATCTCCTTTTCATTGTTTTTTTTTTTTTTAAAATCTTCCGGGGCAATGCCTCTCGTTCAATCTACCAAACCTATCTGTCAAACTCCTGATTATGTTCTTATTACAGCTTGTGATCGTTTTTTTTTTTCAAATAAGGTACCGCAATGTTTTCTCATGGTCCGTGTAATTTGATGGTCGATTAGGATATGACAATAAATAAATACAAAAAAATTATATTTAAATTTATTTGTTAATAAATTTTTTTTCTATACAATTAATTATTTTTTTAGTATCAATATTTATCACAAATATATATTTGATCCTATGATGTCATGTGTTTAATACTTATTATATCATAACTAAAAAATATATAATATTTCACATGAATATCACAACTCTTGGAATCCAATAATATATGTTAATTCCTCAATAGAAGGGGTCAAACAATTTGTTTTTTGAACGGCGAAAGTGAGAATTGAATGTTTGCACTTTTGGATTAAAATTTAGACTCTAAAAGATGTATTTGTACCTTAGTATCAAGATTTGTGTTCCTTGTCCTTTAGAACTTGGATACGCGGTGTTACCTCCAGTGATTAATATAAAAATTAGTTAAATATTTATTTTAGTTCTAAATATAATATATTAATTCATTTTATTTTTTATATTTATTCATCTTTTTTCAGGATAGTCATAATGATTACACATGTTAAAGGTTTTTACGAATGGGGAATTCTAATACATATTATTATTAAGAGTGTTTTAGGAAAAACAGCGTTTATTTTATTATAAATAATTAACTTAATTATTTTTTTAATATTTTTAAATTAATCAACTAATTCTCATATTTATAACAGATAATATGATAATACAAAACACATTTATTTTTTATATTTATTCACCCTTTTTCACGGTAGTCATAATGATTATACATGTTAAAGGTTTTTATGAATGGGGAATTCTATTGAATATTATTATCAAAAATGTTTTAGGAAAAACACCGTCTGTTTATTATAAATAACTAACTTAATTAATTTTTTTAATATTTTTAAATTAATCAACTAATTTTTATATTAAAGATAAGTAATATGATAGTACAAAACATATTTTTCCTCTTTTTTTCCCTTTGAAAAAGAATGTTTTGGGCATAATTCTAAGCCCGATCGATAGTAGGAATAAATAGTTTATTTAAATGTGAAGACAGCAGGGGGAGGAGGCATTCTCTAAATAATTTTTATATCTTTCCAGTGTATGTATTATTTTCTCTTTTTAAATAAATTATTTTTCTTGACTTTTTATATTTTCTTTCAGTCACAACACAGATGATACGGCAATTCAAAAAGAGGATCTAATACCATTTTCTCCAACTAAAGTGACGGGGTGGCCCACTGCAATTGTCATAGCCTAAGGAAAGTATTCTTCTTCTTCCCTTCTAGTTGGCAACCCCAAGATTTTATATGCCTAACTCCAGTTTCACGCTTTGATTTTTTTTCCCCCACTGACTTTTGTGTTACTCAATGTTGTTATGATGAGAAGATAAGATTTCTTGCTAAATAAAGTGTTAATGGCTAAAAGAGTGCATAATTTTATTTATTAGAGTAGGGTGAAAATATAATAATAAAATATTTCATCACAGCACTGAACACCATGAATTTTTTAATACTACCTTCGGTCCTAATTATAAGACCCAGTTGACTAATTTGAGGAGATTAAGGAAGTAAGTTAAGTTAGTTATTTGTAATAAATAAGTGTTGTCATTCCTAAAATATCCTTGCTAATTAAATGTATTAGCTAGAATTATCATTATTAGAAGGACTATCTTGGAAAAAAAATGCATAAATATGAGAGACAAAATGGATTGGGGTCTTATATTAAGGACCGGAGGTAGTACAAAATTACACATGAAGTTCTTAAAATGGTACAAAAATATTATGATCGTTAAGTCAACTAATGTTACCTGTTTAGCATACAATTTGACTAAAAAAAAGGTATAAAAATGTACATGAAGTTTCCCAAATAATATGAAAATATACATAAAATGTTCATCGCTCGTGACATTTTTACATCATTTTAAAAACTTTATGTATGTTTTTGTACTATTTTTTTGACCTACATGTTTGGTAAATTGTCAATTTTAGTTAACTCAATGGCCATGATATTTTTGCGCCATTTTAAAATTTTTATGTACATTTTTATACTCCAGCCTTATGAAGAAATATTTTATAAGTAGATTTGCAATTTTATACTACCTCCAATTTTTAACATAAGAGTTAGTTTGATTTTTAATTTAGTCCTAAATATAAAATCTCAATTTACTCTATCTCTTATATTTATCTATTTTTTTCAAGATAGTCCTTATAAAAATTGCATGTGTTAAATATTTCATCACATGGTAGTTCTAGCTAAGAATAACTAATTTAATAAATTTCTTTAATCTACTCAAATTAATTAACTAAATTTTATATTAAGGACTGGAAGTAGTACTATATAAAAATATATATAAATGTTAAAGTAATTTTATCTACACAAAAAGTAAAAAGAAAAAAGAAAGCATATTCTAAGATCTCTCAATCCAAACATGCCAAGGTGCAAATCTTGACAATACTTTTTGACAAGTGAAAAGGAGTCCATACCGGAAAAAGTGAAAAGAGTCACGAGCTCTATTTGTTTAATATTATTGAGCAGTATTTTTAAAGGCAAAAATCACAAAAAAAGATTTTAAAAATAAAAAATTTATAAATAAAGACCTATTATAGTATTAGTATTAGTTTTGACAATAATTAATAAACAAATAACAATAATTTTTATGAATGAGTCTCTCTATGTAATTTTTTTTATTTTTGATGTCTTTTTTGTGGTTTTTTCTTTTTAAAATACACAAACACTAGTACCTTTTAGAAATGTTAATTCTATTACAAATTTTGAATACTCTTGTACGGCTACAATATGGCCCCGCTACTGACGCTAATAAATTTTCGGGAAATTTCAAAAAAAAAAAAAAAGCAATTATTATTTCCTAATTTAGGCACCTAAAAGTTAAAAATGACAAAGAAAAAAGCGGTGCATAATCTGATATTTTGCAAATATAATGAAATGACTAAAATGCTCTTGTATTAGATTTGAAAAATATATATATATATCAAATTTGTCATTACCAGTACATTCCTTTTTATTGGTTGTTTAACATTTGTCATTCTCAATTCACAATTTATAAAAAATAATTTATTGTTGCCAACACATTTCTTGTTATTTGTATAATTTGGTATTTTGTAAATATAATGAAATGACTAAAACGCTCTTGTATTAGATTTGAAAAAAAAAATTATCAAACTTGTCATTATCAGTACATTCTTTGTTATTAGCTATTCAACACTTGTCATTACCAATTCATAATTTATAAAAAATATTTTGTTGTTGTCAACACATTTCTTGTCATTTGCTTCAACACTTGTTATTGCCAATTCTAAACTTGTTAATAAACTTTTTTGATATAAAGATGTTTTAGTTATTTAACTACATTTGCAAAATACCAGATCAAACACCATTTCATTTTCTTTTTGTCATTTTCAACTATTAGGTTCCTGATTTAGAATATCATATTTTCCAACTTATGGCCTAATATAAATATCAATTATCTCAATCTTTGAATTACAAAAATACCCTTATCCTCATCTTCCTCCTGAGCTGGAAACACAGAAAAAGTTGACTTCTTACATGGTCAAAGATAAACACTCTAATTTAAAGTTTAGGGAGCTATTGATTAATTAAAAAAAAAAAGTGTCTAGGAAGTTATTTATGCAATTTTTTTATA